ACTTCTTCAGTCTGAGAGTTTCAGGCAAACTGAAACTCTCAGACTGAAGAAGTCTCTTGGAGGAGAGACGAAACGTTTCATTAGAGAAGAACCCGTCCAGAAGACCTATACAGTTTTTTTCTTTTTGATTTTTTACCTGGATTACTGAGATGCATCAGGACATAAAAAAGGACTTTCAGTCCACAATGTTGAAAAATTTGTATTTATTAATGATTTACAAAAGGCAAAACATTACACCATTTGAATGACTCGGTTCATTTTGAAACCTAACATTTGTAGGGAAATGAAGAAACGTGTGTTCTGTAGTGTTTAATTAATGTCAGTATAATAAAATAAAATCAGTTCACACAGGATGGAGCCACTCAAACTGCAGCTGAGAGAAAGTTAAAGAACAACGAAACCTGCTTCATTCTTTCAAATCGCTAAAACCGTTTTAAGTTTACGACATCTGCAGCTGGTGTGACAGAAAAACATGGATTATTACCACAGTATGAAAGGTCCACTTCTCCAAACAGTCTGCACATACAGAGATAATATTAAAATATGTGCAGGGAGGAGTTCTCTACAAGGTTTGAAATAAATATCTGGTAAGTAAACAAGCACTTAAAGAGTAGTTCTTATACCTTTCATAACTTCTTTTTTTAATGAAATCACATTGTGATTGAATTTTTTTTTTTATGGTTTGAATTTACGGTTCAAATTAATTTCACACAACTCTGCAAAAAAAAAGTAAAATTTTCTTTAAAAGAAACTAAAAGAGCTGAGGGAGAGACATTTAAAAGAAAGTTGATGATGGGTTATTTATTTAGTTTTTCAGCTTTTTTCTAACGTTCCTGGCAGATTTCTACAGTAGTTTATAAAGAGTGGGACAGTTGCAGACTGGAGTATTTACAGTAAAGTTGTGCACTTCCTGTTACGATCCTCCTCTGGAGAATCCATCAGTTTTTATCGAAAACGTCACAAAAATAAAAGAAGTCTCTCCGGCTACGGAATGAAATAACAGTGTTTCCACTCACTGAGTTTAACCATTAAAAAAAGATAAAATTCTAAAATATAAACAACCTGGAGCTTGACTTCAGGTAGGATCTGCTGGCAAGAAGGAACTTAAAGAATCGACGYGGTTAAAATCAAAATAAAAGCATAAAATGGTTCAAATTTCAGTAAGTTATTAAAAAAAAAACGAGAATAAATCTTTCTAGAGTCCTCTCCCCAAGAACCGTTTTACAAACAAAAATATATCCCGCTTTGCTGCAATTCTCAAATCCTCACTAGAAATAATTAAAAACTTTTTTTTACAGTGCTTATCATTATGTATCTTCAACAGACGTGATCGACGTTTGAATGTCTGTCCGGCTGGAACGATCTCGCTATGACAAAAAAAAAAAAAAAAAAAAAAAACAGGTGGATGGTCCAAGTTTGATGGTTTAAAAAAATCTAAATAAAAACACGAGGAGACGGTCAGTGTTTGGGAGGCGAGCACCGGCTCTCGGTTTTTTTTCCCCAGCGCCGCCTTAACGCCGACGTTAAGGCGGCGCTGGGG